ACTTGTTTTAATCTCGGATCCAATCATGTTGAGACATATGATTTATAGCAAAATAATTCTTTGAGATATTTCTGCATTTTAACCAGCATGTTATTAAGAATTTCTATATTATTTAAAATTTCATTATTTATATTCTCCATATATAACATGGAAATCCCAACTGTAGGATATTTGGATCCTGATAAATCAAGTGTGGTTTTATAGAAGGGCCTTAGAAAATCTACAGCCTCTTTAAGGTCTTCTTTTTCACACTCAGTAAAGAAAACCCCTTTAAATTGTTTGTAATTCAAAAAAAGTACATCTTCTATAGCATCCATGTTCTAAAAATTTAATTTTTTTTAAAAATAATTGGATAAAAATATAAATGCCTCATAAATTGTATTCATCATTAAATAGGAGCTATTCCATCTAATAGGGATATCAGAAGGGATTTTAAATTTTGTAATACCCTTATTTTCACATATTTGTACATATGCTTGATTTATTTTGGGTGATTTATTTTGGGTGATTTATTTTGGGTGATTTATTTTGGGTGATTTATTTTGGGTGATTTATTTATAGAAAAGGCTATGTCTCTACACTTCTAGGATAATTGTAATATATGATAAACCTTCCTGAGATATTAGGTTTAGAATATGGGCACAGCATCTAAAGCCTTTAAATTTTTGTTCCTTATAAATATTCTGCAAAATATCCATGCTTTTTAGGATGTTATTGGCATTATCTGTATTACAGGCCAGTATATTCTCCTCCAATTGATATACATCAATTACTTCTTTTATAGCTAAGGATATTTCTTCAGAAGTATGAGGAAATGGGATATGATTTATATCAAGTAAAATATTTTTTAATGTAAAAGAATCAATATAGTGTGCAGTAATGGCTATAAATAAAATTTTATTTATATTGCTCCACATATCTGTGGTAAAGCTTATTAAAGAATTATTTTTATTTAAAATATCTTTTAGAGAATTTCTTAGTTTCTCAAAATTAGCTGTATAAAAATTTTTAACTTTGTTTTTTGACCAAATCGTAGCAGTTGAGTTTAAATATTTGATTAAATTATGAAGACCTGAACTTTCAAAAGTCTTCATTGGCAGAGAGTCCATTATTACCCATTTTATAATGAGTTGGTTCATATGATCTATTTGAAATTTATCCAATGGTATAGTGATTTTGTACTTGTGGAGGGCATATTTAAATTAAGAGTAGATTGTGTTTTTGAGATATTTTCATCTTAAGGTACCTAATTATTTTATTAAGAATAAGGTTATATTATTTTGACAATGAATTATTCAGACAGTTTTTTAAGAAAAAATAGATATATAAATAATTACCAAAATATTTTAATAATAATACTGCTTATTTTGATTAATTTATTACTTAAAAAATTATAAACAATTATTTTGTTACTTGTTGCTGACGATATGTTAAATTTGGTATTACAGTGAACACATATTCTATGTTTTTTATTAAGACTATAAGTAAAATGTTTCTTGGACAAACTTATGGTTTTCATATTGTAAAAAAAAAATTAACAAAATCTAAAATAATTCCTCTAGAAAAATATCATAAAATAAAATATACAAAAAAATTATATTAATTGAATAGTAAAGTAAACTTAGATATTAATAAAAGACCGGTCCTGACTACGGTCCTCAACAAAAAGATCGGTCCGACAAGACCGGGACCGGACCGTTGACCTTCACTATTCCTATCTCCTTATTTTTCCCACTCTCGATAATCCTCACATTTGACGCAATTTGCCCCATGTCTCTCTGCAGAAAACCGCCTCTGGTATTGAAATTGCCAACATTGCGTTTCTCTCTATTGACCGAATCGTCCCGTAAAATAAGGTATTCCTATCTAGTGAAGGTCACGGTCCGGACTGGACCGATACCCTCGGACCGGACCGGACCACGGTCCTTAAAAAAGATCGATCCAGACCGTGGTCCTAAATAAAAAGATCGATCCAGACCGTGGTCCAAAATAAAAAGACCGGTCCAGGACCGGTCTTTTTAAATCGTAATTTATCACGTTTTCCCTGACAATGGGCTATATATACATATTTTTTACACTCGAAGCATTTGTTTTCTTGACAATCTCTTACCATATGACCTCGTTTTCCACAATTATAACAATTTAAATTTTCAAAACATGTTCTCATTTCCATTCGCCTCCTTGCGAGATTTCTCTCGGCCATAATTTCTATAACTCTTTTAACAAATTTCTATTCTACTTTCTTTATTTCATCCACTGTTACAAGATTATGTCATTCATGCCTCAAACATATGTATCATATTCATCTAATTGGACCCTATTTGATAATCGTTTCTGTTGGCCTTAAAATTTTCTTGGACCTTAAATTGATTGTTGGGCTTTTAAAGGATCCATTAAAAAAAAATCGAAATACATATATTTAAACCAGGGCGAATCCCTCGTCCTAAAAAAGGGTTGGGTCCGGGTTCGTGTTCAGTAAAAAAAAACCAGGTTTGGTTTAGGTTTCTAAGTATAGAAAAATAAGAACTTATAAAATTTAGTCAAAATAACAGACATCAGTTTTTTAAAAATTTATTTTATTACATTTAGTATTCACCATAAAAATAATTAGAATAATACGATACAATTTAAAAAAAATATTATATTTGTATTTTAAATTTATTTAAGTGAATTATCATGATATCTGCCAAAATATAAATTGAGAGAATAAATAAAAAAACATTATTGGACCCTAAATTTTCAAAAAGATTAGGGTTCAGTAAAATCTCGAGGCTTCGAACTTGTTAGCCCTGTTTTAAACAATTGATTTTACTATTTACCAAATTTATAAAATATTTAGCGTCTTTTTAATTTTATCTAATTTTTCCGGAAATATATTCCATCACAAAGATGCGAACCCGCCAAAATTTTTTCCTGGGTTCGGTTCGGGTTCGGATTAAGGTTAAAAAAATAGGTGGGTTCAGTACGGGTTCGATTCAGGGAAATATTTTTAAACCTGGGTTTGGTTCCGGGTTCAGCTCGGGTTTAAGAATTTTTGAATTGATAAAAAAAACATTCTATATTTAAATCATAATTTAAAAACTAGACATAAATTTGATATAAAAAATAAATTTTTTATTTTATTTATAGGCAAAATATAGTTAAAAATACAAAGCATAGTCATCATGTATAGATTTAAAAAATTTTATTTTGACGTATTTCTATAAATTAACAATATCCAATATAATAATTTTTACTTTGACTTGTTCACTTTCATTTTCCTCTAATTAATAATCTTTGAGAATAAGTTAAAAATAAAAATAAATGGCGTAAATGAATTTAATTGTTTAAAATTTATTAACAATCCAATAGGAATCTTTGAGAATAAATTTAAAAAAATTTAAAAATGGAGTAAATGAAATAAGTTGTTTAAAATTTATTAACACTTCACTTAATTGGAAATTTGAAAATATTTTAAAAGGTCAAGTAAAATATTAATATTTGTATTTACAATTATACAAATATCTTATATTAATTTAAACATTACACTGAGCCCGGTAGAACCCGGGTTCAAATAAAATTCCTGGGTTCGGTTCGGGGTTTTGAAAATTTTATAAACAATGTTTAGGCTATGTTCGGGTTCAAATTTTTTTCTCCAAAACCCGGGTTTTTTCCCGGGTTCGGGTTCGGTTCGAACCCCTGTTCCAGCATGTGTAGAATATCTATCCTATAAATTTCAGACAATTTTATGAGATATTACACGATTTGACTAAGGCAATACACGTAATAACCAATACACGATTTGATTGTAACATATCGTCACCTAGACTTAATTATTACATCTCCACCTTTTGTAAAACAAGTTAAAAAAAATTAATATTTTTATATTTTTGATAAGATGGTATAACCTTATAATGACTATAATTTAACTTATTTTATAAATATTTTGAATTTTTTTATGTAAACAATAGCGTATTTATAAAAAATTGGTATATGTCCAAAAAGGTCATTTTTGGTAAAAAGTGGGTATGGAATAACCTAATTCTCAGGCTACGATATATAAAATTAAATATTTTTTTAAAGATAATGACTATTGAAATAATTTTCAAAATGGTAAACTAAAATTATTTTTTAAATATTAACCCTGGTCTACAATATCTCAAGCCCTAAAACAAAATTTGTACCGGGGAAAATTATTCAAAAGTGTTCCATTTTCCTTAAGAAAATTCTGGCTGCTCCTATCGTTGATTAAATTTTATTCGGTTTTAGTAAACTATATTGTAAATATCTAATATTTTATACACTTTACACGAAAACCGAGGAGACCTTATATAAATTTTGTAGATCTAATAGACTCGTGGCCCGTGGCCAACAGCCTGAATTTTTCAAAAAACCTATAGGAAGAAATCTCAAACTCATATATGTATTATTCTCTATCAATGTTATGAACTAAATTTAAATATTCAGCAATAACTTTGATAATTATTATAAAATACGATATAAAAAATAATAAATAGAGTATGCCTCCCACCTAATTTCAATCAGGCAAATGGGAAGAGCCGGGGCTTTATTTTATTGATAGTGATTGGGCTGACAGACTGGTCTTGCAGGACTACTAAGGGCTGAAAACTTTTAACATTAATAGTCTTATTTATTTTTTCCAATTAAAAAGAACTTTGGCTTATCCATCAATCCAATAGCGCTATCTAATCTCTCGTAACTAATGCTGTTAGATTATTAAATGGTTTGAGAATTTATTGTTTTAATACATTTTAGTGTGAATGAGTCTCTGTCCTAAATTTTAAGAATAGTTTAAAAAATGGGAAATTTCAAAAATCTAATTTGAGCACGCCAAAAATGTTCTCTATTGGAGCAGTTTTTTTGAACGCCCCTAAATAAAAAATTTTAAAATATTTTTTAGCCAATGTCTGATACAAAATTTACTAAAATATAATTTTGAATTAGATCTGATCTGTTAGTCTTACATTAGAATTTCACTGCTTTTTTTCTTCTTATTTTAGGAAAGTAATACCGGCTAATTTGTGGAATTACATAGAATTCAACTTCATTCCTAAACGAAAATGGAAAAATATATTTGCAACTCCCGCTGACAGTAATATTATGAAAGAAATCATATTTGAAGCGCAAAAGAACTACAAAAGAGAACACGACCCCCCGAACATAATCGATCTTTATAAAGAATTTTTATTTCTGTGTCACAGCCTTCCATCATATGCGTAAGGATTTTATATTATTATCATAATTATGTAATGTTCAAATTGTAAAATTGTATCGTGATGTATTTTAATATGACATTAAACTGAATACTAATAACATAACTCCCTTCCCCAATTTTTTTTATAGCAAATAACTAGTAGTAAGATGGGGTCTGCCAAACTCCTATTTAAAATTATTTTTTTATACGATAAGCTTTGAGATTGCTTCATAGGTGTTCTTTTTTAAAAAGGAATTCTTAATCTAAATAGCATTTATTTCCTCTTAGTATACAAAAAAAAATGAATTATTCAAAATTTAAGTTACAACAGATTTTAAATCCAATGACGAATATAAGGTGAATAAAAATATGGTTCGAATTTTTAAAAGAATATTGGATGTGTAAAAAAAATAATATAAAAACACCTTGGACACGATATATATTACATTTTATTTGAAGTTTATTTTTTTATATTAGATCTGTCTCCTTCGATGGTTTCATTCAAACCAATTTTTTGAATGAGTTAAATAAAGATAAATTATATCATATTTTGGTAACCATCAATATTCAATGCTTAACCGTGATAGATATAACACGAAATGTAATTTAATTTCTTTAAATATATTTTTAATTTTAGTTGCACTAATATTAGGAAATACTGTTAAGTTTGAACTACGATGATTTTTCTTGGGATTTATGCGAAATGGACAAACCATATTTAATCGATAAAAAAATGCCCTCCATTTTATTGCAAGTTAATAATGAAGTAACACCGACATTTTGTAGACTGAATGAGACTTTTTGCCAGACCAAAATATTTGTTCTCTACTCCAAACAGGTAAACAGAAAGTTGCCCACCTTTATAAGTATTTCCCGTTTATATAATATAATTATATATATTTTGCTTTAAGCGATTTGATTTCCTATCCCAGAATTAGAATTTAGTATTTACAATATTTATAGATTTTTATCGCCTAAACATGATTTAAAATTTTTATAATAGTTTATGTATAAAGTAACGATTATTTAATTTTTTTATTATTAATTTAATACACTTTGGACTTAACAAGAAAGAAAATAAAGAAGGAAGAAATGAAGGAAAGAAAGGGGGAAAAGGGACGGAAATGAAAAAAAAACGTTCGTAAATAATTAAAATTAGATTTCTTAAACCTTTTTTCTACTATTTTTGGACGATTTTTTTTAAAACTTTAGTCTATCTATTCTGTCAAAATTTTTAGACTATTTAAAATTTGTAGTTCTATAATGTAAAAATTGCTACCATATTTTTTAGAATTTTATATGAAATAAATCAGAATTAATAAAAAATTATAAAAATTTTATAGGCACCTTTAATGGACGCTTTGATTGAATCGGTCGTTAGGATTAAAGAGAAAAATTTATCGCTCGACGTTCCCGACCATTCAAACACTGATGGTGAAAGTTTAAATTTTTGTATATATTTTGATATTACTTCATTTTATTGTTTACAATCTGTCCAGAAATTAATCAAAAGTTACCGCAAATAATTCACACCTCCCATACCGATCAATAACATTGAATGCTTATGGTAGCTTTCCCTGAAACACGCCGATTCATTAGCTTTAAAACAATAGCGATTATGAAATAATTTATTTTGCTAATTGGACATATTAACTCAACGCAATTTTTTTATTGAAAATTGAATACAATAATTTTTTTTATAAGATGTATGGTTTAGGACTATTATAATTATAATAAGCCGGCATTTAATCTCAATTATATATTTTTTTAGTGTTATTTTTATACTATATATATAAAATATAAATATTTTTAAAAAAATTTTCAGATAAAATCTGCATTTATTCTATGGAACTTAATAAATTTGAATGTTATGATGTTGATTCAAAAGGTATATAAAAGATTAAATGTTTGACTAACATTTATTTATGAAGAAATATGAGATATTATAATTTTTTTATTATTATTTATTCAGAAGAATAATGTAATGAGCCATAATTTGAAATATTTATATTAAAAAATTTATATTTCATGTAAACTTGTTTAGTTTGAACATTATTTATAGTAAACTAATGATCATATCATAGCTATAAAATCAACAATCCACATCAGGCATTAAGCAAGTTTGGGTAAAATCAGGCAATTTATTGTTCAAATTTGATATGTACATGAAATTTGATTTTTTAAAAAATGATTTTTATAAAAGCGATATTATCTCTAGTTTTATATTTTACAGGTGATATAACGGAAGTTAAAAGGTAATTCTAATTTTACATCCCAAAATCTTGGATTTGCTATTGAAAATATTATTAATTTTATATTTCTATATCAAAGAAATAGATGAGATTTTACATATTTAATTATATTATTTTTATATTTATTTATTATACTATTTATTTTATATAATATTCAAGTATCGAAATAAATTATCAAGATGTAATTTCAATTATGAAGTTAGATAATAATATAATTCACACAAATTTTTAAAAAATTGATAGAGGCCAAGATCGGTTTGAAATGCTTTTAGAATTAGGATAATAAAGACAATCAACGGGTAGTTAAATATTGCTTTTTGCTAAGAAATGCTGTTTATGTTAGTTTAAAAAAAGGTAACGTTCTACCGCGACAACTAATTTATCAAAAAATAGCGTACTACAGCTACTGATAGTGTTATTTATAAAAATCGCACACTACTTTAGTTAAATCTCACTCTAACATATAAATAAAATACAGACGCTTCCATTTTCATTATATTTTTATAATGATTGTTAGATAAATCTTATAATTTGAAATATAAACAATATGATTCAAAAGATTTTATCAATAAAATATTAATTATGATTAAGAAAATTTTGTATTTTCTTTAAAAAGAAGATGCCTTTCAAATTTTACACTTAACAAAGCATCTAATATATAAGAGAGACCGGGTTCCTCTTATGAGACAATGAGTAATCGGAATTAACTAAATTACTATCTAATAATCCTGGGAGACATATCTTCATGTTTTTTCGTGGGATTTATTAAATATATGAGTGCTTTGTGATTTATTATAATTGAATTGAAAATTTAAGACTGAAAATTATCGATAACACTTTTTTTCCATATCATAGTTTTTTCCAGCTACAGATAACCATGAATGTGAACCTTCCTAAAAAATGGGTGGGTTCAGTGAAAAATCTCCGAACCAAGTTTCTGGTTCAGGATTCAGTATCCAGAAAAATTTTAAATTTACATAAAATGAATACACTAAAATAAACCTAGTTTTTTCCAAAAATAATTTCAAGTAAGGGGAACAAAATGAGATATTATTAATATAAATTATTAAGTAGTTTTTATGACCCATCTTAGACCCGGACACTTGAGTTAAGTTAAGAACGAAATAATTTAAAATGCCCATATCCATGATATTCAATATCATTCGATAAGAAGTTTAAGGCTTTCAGAAATGATCTTCAATTCTTATTAGATATGTAACATAGAAAAATTATTAAATAGTTACTTAAATTATATATAACGCGAATATTTTTATATTGTATGTTCGCACGAGTGGGACAAATGAGTTGAAAGGAAATACTTAAATTATATTATATTTATTATCCTCTCCCATATTTAAATGATAAAATGTTATCAGTATTGTTAGACATCAGTCGATCGGAAATGTATAAATTATAATTTAAATAAAAAAATATCATTTTATTTGTCATAAGTATTTTATTATTTTATAGATTAAATTTTAAATTTTGTATTCAAAATGTAATTTAAAATATTTTATTCATCTGAAATCTAAAATTTTGTAATAAATTATAATGTTATCAGAGACTTGCAGGGTACCATTTGTACGGCCCGGCCCAGATTAAAAAATTTTCGGCTGCCCGAATTTTTTTTCAAAAATTTTTTACGGCCCGGCCCAGGTTTAAAAATTTTAGGCCCGGCCCGAATATTTAAAAAAAAAATTTTTTTTAGGTCCGGCTCGGAATTTTTCAAAATTATATTCGACCTGGTATTACAAAAAATTGATTATTTCGTATTTTTCATATTTTTCGGCGAGTATTATCATTTAATAAGCAAGTCATATTTTATTTATTTTTATTCTAAACAGATATTTAGTACATTACAAATTGATACTATAAAAAATTTGTGTAAATAATATTTTGAGAATATACTATGTATTTATAAAAAAAATAAAAATGATATTTTAATTAATAAAAAAGATAACATATATTATATATTATATAATAATGTATTTAATCCTCTGCGTATTTATTCCATGGCAGGAAAACTATAATTTTATTATGTAATAGATACTATGAGTGTTAGCTAGTGTTAACTTTCACCAAACATTATATTAATCATAACTATATATAATCATTATAACCATATCTAATTGACGAATATAATAATTCATGTTGTATAAATTTTTTAAAAAAATACGGCCCGGTCCGGGTTTTAAAAAAAAATTTTTTTAGGCCCGGCTCGGCCCGGGTATATTTTAAAAATTTAAAATACGGCCCGGCCCTGGTACCCGGGCTGGGCTTAGGGCCGGGCCTGCCGGTCTCTGAATGTTATTGCTAAATGTACTTTAAGAGTTAATCGAAGAGTTGGTCCTAGGAAGGCGGAATCTCCACCTTCGGAAAATTCTCTATATCCCAATTTCCAAAAAAAACAAATTGAAAGAGCAACTAGTTACAAGCTACATGGGGAAGATACGAGTTCCAATTACTAGTCATTCAAGACATTGTTACTATATAAATTATAATGAATTACCTACATAACATCTTTAAAGTTTATTTCCTTGCATAATATAAATTTTCTTTAAAATATTTATTAGTTATAACTAGCCTAGAGACCAGTAGCGTCAATGGGAGGGGGGGGCTCAAGCCACATGAAATTTTTTAAGAACACCTAAAAAAAGTGGTCATTTTAAAATTGTTAACTAAAAAAATTCAGAAATTTAAAAATTTTTAAGCCCCCTGAGATTGTAAAGGCTAGTGGCTAGACCTGAATATGCTTAAACGATCTGACTTATTTTACTACAATTTCTGATTTCAGAAACACTCCCTTTCTCATTATATTTTTATTGCTAAAAGTAATTCAGACCTTCATATTACTATTTTAATTTTAAATCTATTCAATTTTTTCTTAAATATCGAATTATACCATATAAAACCTCGTCGTGCTTTAGAAGATAGGGAAACACTTTATTAAGGGGAATCCTAAATAAAACGTGACCAAATTTTATATGCCGCTAGTCATTTAAGTCACAAAAATAAAAAATAAGCTATATATCGCGAGGAATAAAAAAATGTGCTTTCAGACGGGGCCTAATAAAGAAATTATGGAATAACATATGATAGTAGAAAATGTTATATAATTTTATATTTAGAATGTTGGAAAAACCAATATAATAAATATCTATAAACAAAAAAATGGGCAAGCTAGCATTTTACTCAAACCTAGAAATTGTTTCTGTATTAAATGTTTCAAGTTTCATTTTCAAGAAAGAATTAAGCTATATAAAATAATATAACCAAAATAGAAAATACATTTTCAAAAAATTTCTTAAACGGAACTCCTAAGATTAACGTTCCAAAAAAAGGCTAATTTTAGATCTTTTTATTAAAAATCGCTTCCTTAATATTTATAACTTTTTACGTAATAATCATTATAATCGATAAATATTTCAAATATGATTTTGGCAGGGAGAAACAGACCTAAAGGAGCCAAAATTAAGAGGTGTTGCTAACAAATTTATGCAAGACTTTAAATAATATTTGACGAAAGTATTTAATCGAGGTTCCAGAAAATACATAATATATTCATATTTCTGACTTGAGAATGGGATTTATCAATTATAGACTTAATGTTATATAAAGGCGTCTGCCTCTTATCTTGACTTCTTTAGGCTAGGATCTATCCCCAAAACCGAATATTTTCATGTTTTTCAAATTTAACCAATTTTACGTAGTATAGAGATGGAAAGAAGATAAATCACATTATTCTAGAAAGTATTATTAGTTTGTTCTGCCTCTGGAAACATTTTAAGCGAGTTTTATAGTATTATGCTATTTGAATGTAAATTGAGCTAGATAAAATGATATGGTTAATAGGACATTATAATTATATATTAATATATGTTTATTACAAGAATTTAAAAAAAAATTATTTAATTACGATTGAATAAATATAAAATTTATATGATGTTAAATTCATATTATATAATATTTATATAATTATTGCATAAACGTTTATCATAATATATTTTTTTTTCATAAACACCTGTCAATTTAATCAAAGAACTGAATTCAACGTTTTTCGTTTTGAACTGATCTTGCGAATTATGCCATCCATTTCTTCATTTCTTTCTTTCGATTTGCACCTAAATACTGATTTATTGAATAGAATGTATATCCAGGGGTTGAAGCAACTTGTCAGATTTCCCAAAAGTGAGAATATAACGAAAGCTAAAATGTATTTAGTCAAAAAAATGGATAAATGAATTTTACTGTAAAAAATATTTAAATATGAGCACATGAGAAAATCATAGGGATATAATATATCGTGCTGGAAGATTGAAATTCGCAATTTTCAATTTTTACATTCAGATAATTTTATGATAAAGTGACACAAACTAGACTGCCATATCTTAAATGTGAGTTTGCAGAATTTTCAATGATTAAAATGATAAAAAATAGCTGGACAAACAATCACATTTTATATAAATATTGGTGATTTTTTTTGTCAAATTATTTTTCAATCTTTATTTAAAATTGGCACATTTACAAAATATAAAAAAAATTAAAAACAAATCTATTATTTATCCGATGAATCTATTTTAGTTTCTTATTTTTGGAAATAAATCTCGTGACTTCGCAATTCATATTACTGTCATATAATTTACAAAAAATAAGTCAATCATCTTCATATTGTCATTCGTGGCCCTACGTAATCAGTTGGCTTTTAATGTTCTTATAATTTTTTTTACTCATAATCCCTGCTCAAAAATGACTAATACATACTCTGCCAAAACTTTACCATAAATATTATACCTGATAAAATTGAGTTTATTTTATCATTTAGAATTGATATTTAGTTTGAGCAACATTTATAAAAAAGTGAAAATTATTTGACGTTTCAAAATTTAAATTTGCATACAAAATTTCTCATGAGCAATTTATGTGAAAATTACGTTTAAATTTCGAATCTCAAAGTTTATTATTTTTAAATTATATGAGAAGAAATTACCTGCCCCAGGATAATACTATCTCCGGTCTCCACTATCGTAAAATATGAATGAAATATATAGCTGTTATTAATTTATTTAATATTAAATAAAATAAACTAGAGATTCTATGAAATTTAAAAAATTTATGACTTTTAGAGGAATTTTCTTAATTTCCAAATTTCGCGAGAAATTTGGTCATTCTTCGAGAGACGAAATTCATTTGGCGGGATTGCGTAATCTAAAACGGGACGTATGGTATCTAGTCTAAACATGGATTACTTATTAAAAAGAATTTGTTAATAAATTACCCAAACTATCGATCGAATAGTAATATTTTGTGAAAATAAAATAAGTTTTCAATAGCTATCTTTAGGTTAATGATAGGTACTGCCTAAAGTAGTACCTATCAAATATGTATTTTGTTTATTTTTCATTCGGATAGGTACTGCAATTTATTTATGATACATATTTGAAAAATCGTGAGAGCCCAATTTAATTTAATTTTCTTTATTTTTTTAAAATGTATCATATTTGTTTTAAAATGTGCTTTATAATTAGAACCCGGTATTCGATGTATTTCCCCAGGTCCGACCTGATCCTAAAATATTTTAGAAGATCTTATTATCGGAACGAATCCAATTTTTTTTAAAAAGGATCCGAGTCCTATCTGAGCCGAACCTTTCTTATTTTAAAAATTCGATCCTAAAAATATTATGATTTTTCATGGAGAACGGAAATTTTATAAGCCCCTAAGGAAATAAACATTTTTTGTTGTTTTTCTTGAAAAAAGGAAATATCTATTAAAATAAATCATTACTAGAGAAATAAAATAATTTAAAATTTGCCAAGGACCGAAGCAGACCCGAATAAAAAATTAAAAATCATCCGACGAGAACTCCATGAAAATATCTGCCCTAGTTGTGACCCATCCAATTCTGCTGAATTGACATGGAGTCGTCAGCAAAGGGCTACAGTTATAATCGTATATTTTCCATTTTTAAGATTGTTTTTTATTAAATTATTAACTTAACACAAGAATTGAAAAATTTCTTTAACCTGTCAAAAACAAACATAGCATAGTAACAAATCAGTGGCCACTCTAGCTCTTATTATTCAAAGATGCAAATTTAATAAAATTTAACATTGAGGATAACCGGATTCATTATATCTAATATAGGATATTTCTGTTTATAACCTTTCTAAAGTGACCAGATAAAACTTGAAAAAATAGAAAACACTCAAAAAAAATCCTTTTATAAAATGTAAGATTTTTGGGAACACAAAATCCTAAAGTAATAGCTGGGAAAACCATTATAAACGGGAACTCATTTCCTAGATGGTTTTGTATGCTCATGTAGATTGGAAACAGTCAAATTCTATTAATAATGCTTATCAAAGTCTATTTTTTTTATGCGTGTGAATTTAAATATTTTTCACAATGAAGAAACTAAAAGTTAATTAGGTGGCATAACCTAAATGGTTCTTTTTAATAGTGACTTATTTAATATTCACATATACATTTTTTTAACCATCTTTGTTATAAATGTGGGGAATTATATTTTTAATATTCAATTATTTTGTGGCACTTTTTAAAATTAAATATATTGAATTTGAAAAAAAAGAAAAGTTAAAAATAAAAATTTAAGGGGAGAAACTATAAATTAGTAAAGTAAATTATAAATTATTCGGAAAGAATGAAGAAAATAAATTTTTAGAAAGAACAACCCTCTTAGAACTTCCAGGGAATGAAAATTGAATTAACTTAATTTAATTTTAAAAAAAATAATCTCATTTCAATATTAATTATTTTATATATTATACAAAAAATAAAAAGTTTTATGAATAATTTTGAAAATATCATAAAATTTTTCATAACTTTTTGGTATTCTTAGAGAATAAATAAGATAACTATAAAAATTTAACCATCCACCACAAATAAAATAAATATAATTAAATAAGATATTAAACGGAAATATATATGTTTTTTACAAGATTTAACCTATAACTGAAAGAATATAATGTAATAAAATTTTATTCAAATATAATACACTTATTTTATTAACGGATTTCACAATTGAAAACTGTTATGCCAAAAGAGGATAATTTAATTGGCTTCTTTTTAAAAAAGAGAAATAAATACAGAGACTTTAAATTTATTATGAGCGTCTCTCTATTTTGAATCTCAGATGGATAAATATTAAACCTGCCTATCTATTAATCAGTATCCTACGTTTACCAAAAAAACCGAATCTTGAATTGTCATCTTATGGAGGTTTGACGCGGGGCTCTCTAACATAAGAGTAACACTAGAGGTGACGGGTTTTTTAATAAGGTGAAAAAAACTTTTAAAATGAACCTCCCATTTTCGAAGTAGTGATGAACAATGATATTAAATTATTCTATTTAAAAAAATCCTTTCCTTATTAAATACATGTTTTAAATGAATAGAAACCCCTTCAACATTGAAAACAGATATATAGTTGTGAAGTTGTGGCAGAAGAGAGTGCTGTGCCCAACTTTATTACAAAATATTTGAATTTAAAAATAGTCGTTGGATTTGAATATGTGTTTGGGTGCATTTTGGGAATGAAAAAATATTTTAAGAATAATATTCGCTATTCCAAAAACCAGCAGGCTTTTTAGCATTCCTGAAGATTTATGGAACAAAGGAGAACTTGTCTGAATCCAGTAAACGTGTATGCTTTATTATTCTTACATTATAATTATTTCATAATAACAGAACTGAATTTTATTTTATTACTTTACAATTTGACATAAATATTTTATGATTTTTGATATAATAAAATAATTTTAAACCCATCACTTATATGTATATCTTTCATTGTATTACGAATTATTATAAAACTATATTACATTGAATAAAATGTTTAGCAACTGTTGGGCAAAAAAAAATTTTTGCTTATTTTTTATTGGTGGCAGTTAAAAGGTTGCGCTATACCGCTAAATGAATTTATGTTCCGTGGAAAAAAATGATAATAAATATCCTGCAAATGTTCCGCTAATTTGAACCCGCAAAAATGTTCAAAAAGGATGAAATGTTAATTCTAAGAAATTTTAAATTTTTTTAGCTGGAAATTTTATTCATATTTTATCAAATTTCTGGTATTTTATTTCCTGTTATTTTGTCAAAGTAAAAAAAATTTGGTTAATGATGCTTGGTACCTTAAGGTACCATCTATCAAATTTGAATTTTGTTCATTTTTCATTTGGATAGGCACTACCAAATATATTTATAATATATATTTGAAAAATCGTGATTTTTGGAAAGCCTCTATGGCCTAGTAGGCAAGAGCTTGGCTTACTTATCCTAAGCTCCCGGGTTCGAATCCTAGGAATGATCATGTTTTTTTTCTTATTCTAACTTGGTGGTTCCATCCTTGGGGGGATGATATATAGAAGGCCGGACTCGACCACGTGATTCCGTATTAATATATTAAATAATAAGGGTCTTATTACATTTAAATAATTTTTGGTCGGTATTTAGCAAATTAGATTTGTATTTAAAATATTTCCATACATTCACTTGGTAGTAAGCATCATTAACCAAAAAATTTAGCTCTGATTGTGAAATAAATATATTCCAAATATTCTCTTAAATCTAAGTTGGACTCGGAGTAATGAATATTGTTGGCGAATGTGATAATTCTAGTGTTAATCTTGTAAATCTAACGCATAATGACGGTTAAATAAATTAACAAATTATTTTTGCCAGTAGACTGTGACCAGAGGTACATGGAATCAACGTGCCTACAAGATGGTTAACATTTGTTCCTACAAATTTACTAGCCCTTAAATTTTTTTTAATTCTATTATTGGCCAATTTTAAACATATTGTAGGATGAATTAGTCCAAGCATATCTTGCTTGGCATGTTCTACTATATGTGGCCACTTGGACAAAATGATAAAAAACTTGAATTAAGTAATGGCAATTCAATTTATAGAAGATATGATGAGCAAAATTTTCATTAAGTGTTCTCATGTGAGACAAGGTCGATATTTAAGAAATATCTCAATATTATTTTTCAGATATAATGATATATTCCATCAAAAAATGAACAAATTTTTCAATTCTCTAAGCCGTAAACAATAATATATATACTACTAGAGAGGCGTTTCCATTATTAAAGTCATTTAAAGGGGTCCATACATAGGCGCCATTTTGTGGTTTGCATCTGATTAATAATTATGGCAGATCCTTGCCGGCGGGCGAATAATTCCCCTCAAAACATGAACGGGTGGGCTGGTCGGCCTGCTAAAAAAATAAATGGTGAGCAGGCAGGTAGTTTTTTCAAAAACTATGAGAGGGCATTGGGTTATGATTTTTTTAAGACAATTTGTGAGAGGGCTTTTGTTTTTAAAACCCGCCCATTGCAGATCTTCAGATACGACAAACAAATAAACAGAAAAATTATATAATTTTATTTTTGCCCAAATATAAAGTAGAAAGAAGACAATTATATTATACTAAAATCAAATTGAAAACTTAGAATTAGGGGAAGAGTTAGACAGATGTTTAGGGTTAATTTATATTAAAAATTATTATTTGTTTATTTCACTATTTATACGTGATATATATTTTTTTATTTATTCAGAACTAATTTCTAATAATGTAAAACTATAAAGGCGTTTTATTCTTGATAACAAATTTTTCTTTCTTTCTTTCCTATAATTATTTTTATAAAACACCAATTTATGAAATATGTATTAGCTTATTTAATTACCATTTACTTTTAATTGCATATAAATTGCAAACAAATATTGAAATATTGTCATAAATTGCGTGAGTCGTAGTTTAATTTGAGGGCCCGGAAATTCCACCAGGTAATTATGGCTTTGTATGCCAATCAAAATGAAGTTAATGTTAAAAATGAATATATTTGTTATAAAATTTAGTAATATTTATAAAATAAAATATGTAATTATTTCTAAAAAGACCCTCGGAATTTGTCTTTTTTTGTAAATATCATCTTAATATCCACAATCCCCCCCCCCCCTTCCCCTCACTTCCCAAAAAATATAATATATATACAATATATCACGTCAGGCGCGTACGCAGGAATTTGATATGGGGGGGGGATAATAATTATTTTTAAGAGATATTATTGTTATTTAAAAATATCAAGCATAAATTTATTAGGACTAATAACTATTTCTAATACACAATTTTAAATTATATGAAATATAAAAAAATTATATATATAAACCGGCACATAAAAAACTATAAAATAAATGTGAATTAAAAAATATAAAGTGAATATAACCACCATACGAATCACTTAAATGACCCAAAATAGAAATTTGAATTTTTTAAGCCTTTAAAATTTATATATAAAGTAAAAAAATTTAATGTTGGAAATATAAATATTAATACATAAAAAGTTTCTTAGGAATAATTGTATTTTGTATTATATTTACAATGTAAAATCCAATCTTCGTTGGGATTGAGCAAATTTTTCAATTACTCATCCTTGCTTGGCGTCAAATGCTTATAAATATTTAAAAGATCCAAACCATTCAATCCACTTTCAGAAGTTGTATTTTTAGGTATGTTTTCAGAGAACTGCAGGCCCGGTTCCCAGGTCGGATCGTATTTTAATTTTTTAAATACACCCGGGCAGGGCCCGAAATTTTAAAAAAAAAACAGCCGGGCCGGGCTTGATTCTTTTAAAAAAAAATTATCCGGGCTCGGCTATATATTTTAAAACCAAATATTTGAAATTAGCTATAAAAATCAAAAATAAATATAATTTCTTTAAAAAACCCGGGCCGGGCTGAAAAAAAATTTTGAAAAAAAATCCAGGCCGTGCCCTGCAAATTGTATCTTTGCAGGGCTCTGTTATTCTTCTTAAAAAAGAGAATGTTCTCTCATTAGTTTACTAATGGGAAGAGTTGCTAATATATAATATATATAATCATTTTAATACATTGGGAATAAAATCTAAAATGTGTTTGAAATTATACAAAGCATCCATAGCATTTTTTGGGGCTATATCTTAGTTAATCTTTTAAACATAGTTATTCAGCTAATAAGGCATCAAACAAATATTATCTTTTTTCTATCACCATCTGAGAAAGATTGGGTTTGTGGAAGTAATATCTGCAGATTGGTAAGTGCTGCATGATGAATTAAAAACCATTCATTTATTTGGATTATAGTTTTATAATACTTTTCTACTGATCTTATACTTATGTTTTGACGATGAGCTTGCCTTGCTGCAAATCGAGTGAGACAAATATTAAACACGTATAGCTCTCCTTTTGACTCAACGATAACATATAAAATTGAAATTCTTCATCAACATTAGCCTTAATTTCCTTGAGTTCTAATAAAATCCTCTCCGCTATTCTCATTTTCTTAATCAAGTCAATGTCATGTTTTTGAAAAGTATTACTTAAAATAGTTGTATAATTAAATAATACATTCTAATGAGAAAAAAAAATTGAAATAAGTATTGAATCCAATAATTTTCTTGCTTCTGAGGAAATATTTCTTTCAAGCCATTGTGATATTTCAGTAATAGCATTAATAATCGGTTCTTCTAACTCCATAAAAGCTGTTACTGCTTGATGGCGGAGACTCCATCTCGTTGGACAAGCTTGCACTTTCTTTCTCCCTGTTGGACAAGGAGTTTCAGAAAAATTATTATTTGACTAGAAATATGAAAATGATAGATAAATAATAAGCCACTAGAAATTTGAAAATAATAGGTAAATATTACGCCAATGAAAACTTGAAATCGAAATTAATTGATAAATAACTTATTAGATGAATAAATGTAATTAAATATATATTTAATATGAGATAGGAATAAATATTAACAAATATAAATTAATATAAACATTAATATTTTTGAAAATCCGACATCTGCATTTTTTGGCTTTGGGGAAGGGGGATTTGTCCCCCTGCCCCCCCCCCCCCCACACTGCGTACGCTAATGTATCACGTTAACCAATCTTTGAAATAAGAAAAGTTAATCATATTTTAAAAAAGCATTTTTATAAAAAAATGATCAAACCCGACCAGCCCCAATTTTTAAAAAAAATATTAGGCTCGACCAAACCAATTTTTTTAATAGGCCTGATCGGGTACGGGTCTGACCTTTTTCGCAGATCTCAATCGCCTACCCTCTAGATTTTTAGCTTATATAATTTTTAAATTCAAAAAAATTAAAAAGTAAAGAATAATTCATAGATTTTCTTATCAATTAAAGAGAATAATCATCTTTAAAATGTCACCTTATGCATAGATATCTTCCCATTATGTGATCGCTACAATGTTTGTCCATATATTTTATCTATCTTATTTATTAAATTTGTTTATTTTGTTACAATTATATTATAATTTAATCAAATTATAACATTTTATGTTTTATTTTCTTCAAATGCGGTAAGAGTTGTTAAAAGTATACTTTTTAAATGGTTCAATTAAGAACATTTTTATTATAAAATTTTTTTATATTCAGTTTAGATATTTTATTTATAGTTGAAAGTATTCAATTGATAATAAAATGTTATTATTAGCTTCGATAAAACATTTAAGAAATTTTATTCAATAATGAATTTAACCACATTTTAGCTAAATTAAAAAGTATATGGAGATTATTAGTTAATACAATATTTTCGCCGTCCATTGTGCAAAATAAAATTTATCTTCAATTATAAAGAAATAAACTTGGGCAGATATTTAATATGATAGAATTAAATTTTAAAAAATTTACTATAATAAAAAAATTAAAAAAAATTGTATCAAATGTTTTATAAATAAGTACGAATTCATAAAATCAGATATACTATTATAAAAATATATCAAGTTAAGATACAGAATATTTGCGTATATATATATATGTATCTAGATAATTTAACAGCTTTAGTAGAGATGCATGATTATTTAAATTCATGAGGTAATTATTAACTCATTTAAAAGAGGAAATTTTGATTAGAAAGATAGTAAATCGATTATCTGAAAGTATTTCTATAATTGAAAACAAATTTTCATAGCAATTTGTCAAAATATTTACATTTAATCGAATATTCCTTTAAAGTATAAACTTGCAAAATAGTGATGATCAAAGGCAATATTCAACGAATCAAAATTTGATAGAAGTTTTGCTAAGGTCAGTACGAAATAGGGTTATAAAAACAATAGTAGAACGCTCTCGTTCTAGTTACTTTAAAGAACCATTAAGTTTGAAGATAATATCTAATGGTAGGGGGGAAACAAGTGCTAAGGGCCTAGTATATATTTGTTATTAAAATAATTTAATAAATGCTATTAAATATCAAGATATCCTCAATTAAATATTGATCTCATCTCTTTATTAGTACATGAAGAAAATTATACATCTTCCAACAAGATAGGGCTCCTTCTCATATTGCTAAATCTACAAATCCTGATTTAGCGATAATAATATTAATTTGTTGGATTTACCACCATATTCTCCAGATTTCCAACTTATTGATTAACATTTGAGGTGCACTCAAACATTTAGAAATCAGCACTTAGAATAAAGGATTTTTGAAAAAATAATTAGATTATATGGTTCATGATTATTTTTTAAATTTAAAACTTATTTAAGCTAAAATAAAGAATGGGTGGATATCAATGAAAGGGGGCAATATATAAATCAAAATAAAAAGGCAATTTACATAAAAATATAACTTACTTACATCAAATTTAAATTATTGCATAGTATGTGAAGTTATTTCACAAAAAGAGGTATTTATAAATCGAACGATTATACTTATATATTAATTTATGCAAATAAAATATATTTAAGACAAATTATATCTAGTTTACAAACTAAAACTACAGGGGCGAAACACATAGCGCCACAGACTGCGCAGCTCTCAAGGTTTCAGAAAATTTCACCCCTCTCCCTCCAAAAAAGACTAACTTTTTTTTGGAAAATTAAATTATCCAAACCCATTTTCAATTCTGTTTAACATATGATATATGTGCCATGAATAAGCTAAGAATATGCGTCATAAATAAATGGAAATTGATTTGTAACCAGGCGCGTACGTAGGGGGGGGGGGCTTTAAAAAATATTAGGACCAAACCTGGCCAGGCCTACATTTTCACATTTCTAACACTTTCCAAGGAAAAATATTTCTCCTATGTCAACAAAGATTTTATACTAAAAAATATGTATTATTTTATACCCTAAAAATAACTATATTCAAAGTTGTTAACGCTCCTTTTTAAAAGTAACTAGCTCCCGCTCCTTCCTTTTTAAAAGGAGCTAGCTCCCGCTCTCGCTACTACATTTTTAAAAGGAGCTAGCTCCCGCTCCAAGTAATGGAGTGCTACTCCATAACCGCTCCTTTGATTTCCATTTTTTTAGAAGGTATACAAAACAAAATCATATTTTTTTTTATCAAAAAGCTTTATTTATATTAAATGATCTATCAAAATATATTAGTTTTTAAAAGTAATAAATTTTCTAAATTAGAATCTAATAAACATCCACACCTCTCCCCTAAGCCCTGTTTTGCAATACTAAATAGGCACTCCACAGGAGCACTAGAGGGTTGCGGGGTATTGTATTTTATAAAGATATTTTTTAATTCAGGGAATTTATCAAAAATAGTAATTTTGGTATCATTATTTAAAAAATATTTGTCCATTATATTATCTTCTAAATCCATAATATCTAAAACTATTTTTTATTATATATCTATAAAATGAATATTAATATGACTTACAAGATTTTCCAACAAATTTTCAATATAAAAAGGAAAACTTGATGTTTAATATTTAAAATGATTAGATGAAAAACCAATATAAAACTAGGCTAAACATTTAATAATGGATAAATTTAAATTAAATAAAATTTCATTTTTATTGAATTTTAATTAATAGATATTATTAATATTTAAAAAATAAATCAATTTATACATTAAATTTTAAGGAGCGGTGGAGCGGCGCTCCTCCATTCCTAAAAGGAGCTAGCTCCCGCTCTTCAATTATAAAAAGAGGGGCGCTCCAGGTGTTTTTGAAAAAATGTTGCGGCGCTCCAGGAGCGCCGTTCTTTAACTATGATTATATTTATTTACTATTTTTTTTCCTAGTTTTAATATTTATTTAATTCTTATTAATGTAGCATATGAAAGCTTATATCATATTCCACCAGAATAATTATAAATTTATGATTTTATTTCAAAATTAATCTTTTTTGGGAGATCTTGAACCTTCGCTTAACATCGTGATATACACGCCCTTTGTATTATGCCGCTGTAATCTAGTTTATGGCATTAATAAAGACTGACTGCTTTTTTATAATTAATTTATACACCTAGTTTTTTTATAGCCTTGGATGACAATACCGATTTATCTATACCATATTAAACCACAAAAATATCAAATGTTTTAGTAAAGAAACTTTTGAAGTCTTAAATATCTGGAATTAGTCAAAATTTCAAAATAATCCTTATTTTATATTATATATTTTTTGGTTTTTCTTTTATTTAATATATACTAAAAAATCGATATAGTTTATACTTAGGGGCTTAATCAGATTTAAAACGATATAATTGTATAATCGTCTTATTTTGATTTTCGTATTTTTGTAAAAAATATTATAATAATAATAAATACAGAATAACCTGTTTACTATTATTATACCGTTCAGGTTAATTATCTTTTATGTTTTGATTTGTGAGTCCCAGATATTATAATAAAATTACAATGTTTTACGGTTTTAACGTTTTAAATTTATTGTCCCTTCGAGCAACATTAGGAGCATACTGCTGTTTAGCATAAAATTTTAGCCAACCAAAAACTATGCTCTGGTAGTTTATTTACAAATAGTTATATTGATCGTTTATATCTTTTTTTCCTAATCTACTAGGTTAGTTAGCTAGCTTACCATCGACTATGTAATACTTTATGCGTAAGTTATTCTATTATTCATGGTAGGATAGACATGAAAGAAATTAAATAACGAAACTAAAGTAGATAATATTTCAAAATAATATTTAATATACTGTTTGAAACCTCCCGCCATAAAATATGAACGATCATTTTTTAGTCAACATATAGAAGTCGTCACACATATTTTATTTTATCCCCTACCTGCCCGTGCTTCGCTCTGACTTGTAAGGAAAATGACATTATATATGTTTTAAAATTTATTTCGGTAGGAAGGGACCTACCTAAAGGTCTAGATAAGAAAGTTGAAATTTTAGGAGGTTTCTCAGTTGTATTATATATATTCTTAAATTTTTTACCTTGATAAATAGATGCCTTTTTGTTAAAAATGTTAAGATATATTATGCTTATGAAATAAGGTGACCAGCATATAATATAGCAAATTACAACGCTGAGAGTGAGTTGAATTGTTTTAACTTTCGCTCTACTAATAGTTTCCAAGGAATGGGTTCTAAATCGGTGTTTCGGATGAGTACATAATTCATCGTCATTTTTCTTTTCCGTATATGTTTTCTTCTTATTTTTTGACTCAATATCTTGGTCAATTAAAATATTTGGAATCTCAATATTGGGGGTTGAATTTCGAAATTTCTGCATTTTGGAGGTTGGAATATAAAGATTTTTTGATTTAAATGAATATATTTTGGATCCAAGGTATTGAAGTGACCTATATTTTAACGGAAAAAACGTTTGTTTTAAAGATATCTTTGGAAAGTCCTCAAACTTAGTTTCACTGTTCGAAGTTTCAATATAGGTGTTCGAAAAACCGGAAGACTTTGATTCGCTATGAACATAGTGAGATGAAATTAATTTAGACTTCCTAGACTTAAAAAGGCCTCTATAGCAAAAATTGCTGGGTTCTATGATGCAGGGCTTGCGTTTATTTTTAATATTGATCAAAATTTTGGTGCATATACTAATATAGCAATATAGAATCACAAATAAAGGAATGATATATATAGCGATCAAAAACCATAAAATGTAGATATTTTCACTCCACTCATACTTGTGAATGGCTCGGCAATAATAATGCAACCTTAAAGGTGAACTATTCACATGTAATTCTGAGGGCTTGTCTAATGTATGTTGATTGAATGAGCAATTTTGCCAAAGACTAGAATTAAACTTGGATAGATTCAAATATTTTATTTTTGCTAGTTTGGAATAATTAGTTCCATTGTTATAGTTATGACTGATTTTGAGTTGAGTTGGTAATTTACAATTACTTAGGCTTTCATTGTAGATAAAAGTTGGAATGTTAGGAGGAGAATTATTTACCATATCATTATTCATTTCATTTCTGTATGTCACCGTCACTCTTTTAAAAATAAAAAGTTGTGGGGTGGCAAATATAAAAGAAACAAACCAGGTCAAAAATATACATACTTTAACACGGTAGCACGATCTTTGATATACGCTCATCGCGTGGCATATGGCAAGATATCTATCCAAGGCTATCGATATCAAGATATAAGTCGTTAAGTACATACTAAAAACTTGTAGGTAAGGGACTATCTTGCACAGGGTGAAACCGCCTTTCCACTCGAACGTGATTTTCCATATAAGTTGAGGTAATACGTTGAAGAGTCCTACAGACAAATCCGCTATGCAAAGATTCAGCATGAATATAAATATCCGTTTTTTGGCTCGTGTGTATCGACATAACATAACCAGGCATATAATGTTACCTGTGATGATTAATGAAAATATCACTGAAAGAGCTATTATCTCAAAGGTAGCTAAGCGCTCATCTCTTACTGGTGTTAAGGTCATGTTTAATATCATCTTTTAATTTGTATTATTTTTATAAGATTATTACAAGTCTATTAAGAAATCAATAGTAAATGAACTAATTTTATTTGCTAAATAAAATTAGAATTTTTCTTTCATATGTCCTTATTAAATAAATTATGTTATATTAATACAACGTATTGGTTTATTAATTATTTATATTATGGAAATTTTAGTAGAATCTCCCGAATTTTTTTTAAAATTATAATATATATTAATTTAAATGTAGCATGGGCCTTCAAATCGATAAAGTTAAAGCAAATTATTGTTTTATTTTATTAACGCTTTTTGAAGGCAAATTTAAAAAATATTTTTTTAAGTAAAGAAATATAAATTTAATAAAATTATAAAATGACATCTAAAGATATAAGAGTGGTTAAAAAATACTGACCAATTGTAATATAATCCTGCAAGGTATGCCTAATGTCGAATTTGAAGATCTTTTGTTAAAACTCAGATACTGATGTTAAGCCTAAATTTTTTTTAGTTCTAAACTGCTTCAAAAAATTTATAAAGATTTGGATCTCTCTTTTCAAGTAAATTTATTGTTCGGTTACGGTCCAGGGAATAAAGATTCACCCGATTTTCTTTTTAATTCCTTGCTTTAAAAAAAAGTTTAGAAATACTTATATAATATTATTCACTGAAGGAACCTCAAACATGGACGAGAGAAGATACAATTGTATCATTTATTTCGTCGGAGGGGATAGCAAGTATTGTGTAGGATGAATTTTATTTTGCTTGCAATTTTAATATCTATATTAATCATATATGTTAGATTATGGTTAATCCAGATCCGGCCTTATTTAGAATTTGGGATCATCTAATTTTTAACAACTTGCCGCAATTCCCGATTCTAAATCTTGGTTTAAGATGGGAAAAACACCATGATCAGGATGTACAATTTAACGGTTTTAAAAGTTTAAAATCGGGATACAACCATTATTAAGTTATAGTTAATTAGATTTTGAGGAGATTAAAAACATTTTTTGAAGGTTGCGTTAATTTTTAAGGGGTTTTTAAGCTATAAACTTAAGATCCAAAGTGTAACTAGGAAATAATGTCTAAAGGTAATAACATTTAAAATTTTTCACAAACTTTTATTTTATAATGTGATTCAATAGCCATTAAGAATAATTTAACAAAAAATAATCACTATGAACCGGAAAGGGTAGCGATTAAATGAAGGTCACGGTCTGGTCTTTAGTCCAGACCAGACTAAAACTTAAAGACTGGTCTAGACCAATGTCAGTTAAAAAAGACTAATCTAGAAGCGGACCATGAAAAAAAACCTGTTCAGGACTCCTCATTCTTTATATTAAAATTTTTTTAAGTTGGGAATATTATTTTATTTTATACTAAAATATCTTGTATATATGATAAAATAATTATTTATAATTTATTTTAAATATAATAAATGTTAATATCCTTGCATGGATTGAATCAGAGGGACGTAAGGGGATAAGCAGGGACATGTCTATTCCATTTTAGTTAAGAGTTCATACACATGATAGTTAGCTTTGGAAGTTTAGGTATTTTTTTATAGATCACCTGTTTTAGAAAATCTTGTTTAGGAGTATTAATATAGTGTAATTCTTGATATATATCAAGCTTTAAGAGGGCAATGGATGAAAACTCCTATATAAAATTAATAAATAACAAAATAAGAATAATTTGTATAATGCTGAACCTTGTTGTCGACAATATTTAACCATTTAATATATTAAAATATTTTTAAAAACAGGTCCGAACTAAAGATCGAATGAAAAGACCGGTCTACTCATCGAAAGTTAAGGATTGAGCTGTCGATTTTCATGTCACCCTCAAGAGGACCTAAAATATACTAAAAATCACATCTTTTTGACTAAACTCAAAAATCTTGCTTCCCCCCTTCCCAGCACATAATTTTTCCTATGGGATCACATTCCATAGTAGAAGGCGTTTTGAGCCTCTGTATATGCAAAATTTAGTTTGGACACACTCAGGCCGCGGAAATTGCTAAGGTATCTACTAAGTCTATGCTGAAATATCATTTTCACTTGCATCCTAATAAATGAATTTGATATAATTTTCTGAAGGGTTTTTATTTAAAATTTTTATATGTTAGTGTCGAATGCTAAAAAAAATGTTGAAATAGGAAATGTGAGCATGCTTAGATAGAACATATAGGCAGCAAAGCCACTATTATACTTCAAATTATTCATAAATTACACTGTGACAAGAAAAATGGAAAAGAAAATAAAAACAAGTTTTGGTGCAGATTTTGACGCTGAGTTCGAATCCGTTTTTCAAATTTTCCCTACACGTCAAGTTTTAAAAATATTACCGTATAAAGACAACTTTTCGAAATCTCAAAAATGGTAAAATTTAGGTCTTAATATGGATATATTTTAAACAGTATCGAATAAAAATCCCTGAAAATTGGTGATAGTGTTAAACTTATATTTCTTTATAAATTTACTAATTTTTATAATTTTTTATCAATTGGTTTTTGAGAAAAATGGTAAAGAATTTCGTTTTGGAGGTCTTAAGTTTTCAATTTAAATTACTATCAAAATTATTAACTTTAGAAGATAAATTTTATATAATTTTGCTTCAAATATGCTCAAGATTATATATTAATTCTAATTATGTTTCAAAAGTACTATATGCCATGAAAATTCAACCAAAATCTATAAATTAAAAAAGTCGGTACAGATATTTTCGAACTTTTTAATTTGTACACTTTTATTGAATTTTCTCTGCATAAAGCATTTTTATAGCAAAATTAAGGTAATATTTATCTTTTTTAGTTATATTTAGTAATATTTTGCATTTATGATCAATTTATACCAAAATCAGATATATGTACCCACTTTTTTTAATTTGTACTCTTTTTGAATTGAGCATTTTTGAAGCAAAATTCATTTAAAATGCAATAAATGGTAAATTTTTCATATTTTATTAATATTTAACTTTTTTAGATGTATTTAAGAATATTTGTTTTTTTAATCAATTTATATCAAAATATATGATTTTCCAATGGAGTACCTTGAACCCGTAGTATGGGCAATAAATAATAATGCCAAATAACGAGTAGGAAGAAAGGAGAATAATTATTTTTTTTCGCGCTTAATTTTTCATAAACATTTAATTTCTTTCATTAATTTTTTTTTTAAATTGGATTTTAAATATTATTCAAATTCCCTCCTTATATAATATTCTATAAAAAATTAATGCCAAGGTCCCCTTGTTTAAAGTGTGAAATTTTGTTACATCTGTGCGGGCTATATATTGCCCACACAAAAATGTCCAATTTCTCCAATCATTCAAAGGATTTATTATATTTATTACAATATTCCACTCTGCGATTTGGATAAACCATTTGCCCCTAATTACATATGTAAAATATGTTATAATTCTTTTAATTCATGGGTAAATGGAAAACGGTCATATTTGCCTTATTCGAAACCTGCATTTTGGCACGTAGCAAGAAATCATTCGTGGGATTGTTATTTTTGCTCGATTAGTACATTGGTTTAACAAAAAAAATAAGAAGAAAATTCGTTATCCTGACATTTCGTCGGTTGTTTATCCTGTAAAATATAATATGCATAAAACAGTTCCTTTTTTAATAGTTCGCAGCTGGAAAAATTACGTTGCCAGGACAATGACAATATTGATCTTGAGTATTATCCCGAAGAGGATTCGCCATTTATATCACAAGAGCAACTAAATGACATAACCAGAAATTTACAACTCTCAAAAAGAAAGTCCGAATTTTTAGCCTCAAGGCTTAATGATTTTAAAATTTAAAAAATGGAGTTCGAACTTCATATCGATTCCGTGAAGCATCGTTTAAAATATCCTCTTACGAAAATTTTTTATACTATTCCAACAATCTAGGTCAACATTTTTTACAACTTAATATTGAATTGGTGCCCGATGTATGGCGCTTGTTCATCGATTCAAGCAAAAACAGCTTGAAAGCAGTTTTGCTTCATAACGGAAATTCTAAGTCATCAATTCCCATCGCCTATTCCAACCAGTTAAATGAATCATATGAAAATATGAAATATTTATTGTCAAAAATAAATTATTCCATTTACGAATTTAAGATATGCTGTGATCTCAAAATGATCGCAATCCTGACAAAAGTAAAATATGAGATAGGTTAGCTTAGCATAATATATTTATTTAAATATGAGAAAATATAACTATTTCATTTAAAATAAATTGTTTGGAAATCGTACCGTGTGCAGTGTAGCGAAGAGAACGAAAGCCACAAAATAAATATATTAAATGTAAGCTATATTAAAAAAGATTTTATAAATAAAGGTAAATTTAAAAAAAAAAGGTTGTTTAAAAATTGAGTAAAGATTTTATAAAAAAAAATGTATAATAATAATAAGGAAGGTTTGCTGCAAAAATTAAGATATTTTTTTAGTTGTAGGGATCATTAGAACCGAAGTTATAAACCTTCAAAAAGTGCTAAAAATGACCTTTTTGGCCACTTTAACCTAAAATAAATAAAAAACCTGACGGTCTAGAAAAAAACTGACAGCGGATTTAGAATATGCATAAAAAACTGTCTTAAAACATGTTTATTTTATTTTCTCCCAAATAATCAAGTCGAAATTTGTCACACAGTGTTATGGGAAGATATAAGAGATTATATGAAGGCCCATAAGTTTCCTAAATGTAAAAACCTCCATTTCTTAGCAATCAAATTAACTTGCACTTTAGATTAATGGAAGAATAAAAAAGTATTTCATAATATTTTATCACTTTGTGTTTTGGGCTACTAATTAAAACTTGACCTAACTGTCATAAAGTTATCCTATACAATTTTTTTCTTCATGATTATATATTTAATATTAACATTTGATTTATACTAGAGACCATCAATGTCGATTATCCTATGCAAAAATTAGCTTAAGAGATATACCAGAGACCTACAGGCCCGGCCCGGCCTGGGTACACGGGCCGGGCCGTATTTTAGT